GAATTTATTTAGATTATTCATTGATATGTCATTGTTTGGATTTTATTATTATTTAAGCTAATACGAGGGCACTTCGGAAAGATCTTAGCACAAAAAGCGCGCTATAAACAGGAAAAAGTTAAGTGTTTTGGAAACTTCCACCTCTGTTATGTACACATGTCAAATTTTCATTTCATTTATTAATTCACTTCATTGTAATATAAAAAAGCACGCAATTCTAATTTTTCATTGAAAAAAATTATAACATATAAAAGTTTCCCAAAAGACGGCACCATGTTTTACAATTGTAATATTTATTACTCATGAAAAAAAAAGAAAAATCGATTAAATTTATCATTTTTGTTTAAATAAAATGCGAATTGCCGACTATTGGCAAAAATGCACTAGTTTACCCAATTTTTATTTTACTCAACAAATTAATTAAACAAATTTTTATTGCGTGTTGCCAATTTAGTACGTTTAGTGCTAGATTAAGCACTTTCTAAACTCGTTTAGCACCAAACAAATTGAATTGATTGAATTTTTAGCATTTTTAATTCGGATTTTTCAAAATTTTTAGTATCGATTTCACATTGACCGTATATTTGACATGGTGAATTTGATTTTCCAATATTATTTCCAATGAGCGGAGCAGGTGAATTTGATTTTCCAATATTATTTCCAATGAGCGGAGCAGTATAGTCGGACGGGGCTATTCCTATGATATCCACCGCAACTACCATAAGACTTCAATTTTTTGCGAAACTAATTGCCGTGTCGGTGTTATAAAAATACTACAAAACATACAATATCAGAATATACAAACTCTGTGAACAATAGAAAAATATTGACGGATCATTATCAAAACAGCCATGTTTTTTCGTTGACTAGATTCCCCTATTTATTTTTTATTGATGTTCGGATTTTACAAGTTGCATCTAGACGAAAAACGACTCTTTTTTGGCTAATTTCATCCCCAAAAACCGGAACTTTATTGCAATGCTATCACCGATTGTGGTAATGATAATACTAACCATTATTAGAATAGGTAGAACCCTGTAAATATTTAGGTATACCCCCCACACCCGGTCTCTGTCCTTCTAGAACAGAGAGCGTATACATGTAGTATACGCTCTCGGTCAATTTGACTCGCTCAATATGCTTTTTCTTTAGCGTTCCCCCCATGTTCAATTTTTTGACCTCTAGAGTAGGGGTGAGCAGAGAGAAAATGCTCGGAGAATAAGTGAGAAATGGCCATATGAAATGCTTTGCTATAAGAGAACGCAGAGAACGAGCTTATTGAAACATATACAGTCTTATCCTGGACATCAATTCACCGTGAATTTGTTCGCTCTTCCCTTTAAAATTTGAACATAATGACTTGGTCCAGCAAAACAGTAATAAAATATTTAAATTGAACTTAAAGTATGTCATAATCAATGTAAAGGCTACATTTGCACCTATTTAACGGCATAAACATTAGAACTTTTACCGGGTTAAATGTCGTATACATTAGAACTTTTTACCGGGTTATCTTACTTTATGAGGATTTATTGGACATATATGCAATGGAATTGACAACTTATACCCACTGGATTAACGAAATCCAGTACAATGTAAACGTACTGTTACCTACTTTATGAGGATTTATTTGGCATGTATGTAAAGGAATTGACAATTGAAACCCACTGGGTAAACGAAATCCTGTTAAATGTAAACGCTCTTAGTTAAAATTTATAAAATAAAATACAAAATAAAAAATTGTATGAGACTTGAAAGGAAAAAGTTGTCAAAATTGCCCCCTCACCCCTATCAATAATTTTCTAAGAAACATAGATTTCAATATAAACTATAAACTAATTTCTTTTTATTCATTTTTAACATTTTTTCTAGCACTTTTCTAAAATTTTTAGCATGTTTTCTCAATCAAGTTTTGGCAACACTGCGAGAAGTAAACAAAATTTCGAAACAGATGAACCAATGGTACAATTATACAAGGTAGGGTAGCTTTTGTCAGAAAGGAGAAAATACACCTCTACCTTGTGGGCAATGTCAGAATAAATGAAAACAAATGCAACAAGTCGATCTGTTCATTTGAATTTTTTTTTACCAAAAAAACGCGAAAAATTAATGGAATGTCAGGTCTTCTTTTCAAAATCGAGTTGGGGATATGATTTACATATTGATTCATTCACAAATCATACATTTCTTCTTGCAAATGTTGTAAACTACATCTGCAAATATATCGATTTTGGAATATATATTTTTCAAACATTACACACATATTGTATATGACTTTAGCATAACAAGCCACAGTAAGAAACAATTATAATTTATAAGTTGCTATGGCCTACCTTGAATAATTGTATCATGGATGAACCTAAATATAAAGCTAGTAAAGTGGAAACATTTCAAAAACAATAAATCGATTCTCAATGTAAAACGTTCTCACTTTTTCCACTGAGTAATTTTGTTGAGGTCGGTGGAAAAGTATTAGAAAAAAAACGTTGCGCAAATGAAGTGAACAAAGAAAACAATTATGAAATTATTAATTCTTAACATAATTATAATAAAACTGGCAGCATTTCAATAAATAATTAATCTGGTGAATTCAAAATGTTTAAAACTCCTTGTACATTAGAACTTTTTACCAGGTTAACCTACTTTATGAGGATTTATAAATTATTATGAGGATTTATTATTATTTCAAAATTTTATTTTGAACAATTTTTTCAGATAACAATGGAAATTTTTGTATTGCCTGTGTCCAAATATATCCTATGAATACGTTTAATTTTCCTTTTAAAACTTTATGTAACATCGTTATATTTGTAATTATAAAATATAATAAAACAAATATTTTTATATTAAAACAATAAATTACTTAATGAAATCGGGAGAATAAATTCTTTAACATATTTCTAAGGATCTAAAAATAATATATTATCACTCAACGATTACATTATGCATTATATGGATATTATAGAGGAATATATTATTTTCGTAAGACATGCAGCGTGTTACGGATAATGTATTCAACGAATTCAATAAAAACATCAAATTTAAATGTGGATTAAATTTTTTTGTTGTGGACAAAAAAAGAACAACCAATGTGTATTTATATAAGGTGTATTTATATAATCAGTCTGTTTACTTTTTTTTGTAAAATAAATTGTTAGAATATATTAGGGCATTCACTTCAAATAATATTTTTAATGAACTTATTCTAAATTGGTCCCAAAACGTACTAGAATATACAACAGCATGTTTATTAAGGGAATTTGCTTAATGTTTTTATATATCTATTTTGCGAAACAAATTCTATGAAATTATTCAGTAAGTTCTAGTTCAGAGACTACGCCTTTTTTACTCTCTTTTGCGATAATACTGAGAAAAGTAAACAGACAACATTTAGTATGATTTAGCAAAGAAAAAGCTGATTCAAGAAAACATTTGATTTGCGCCAAAATAAACAACAAACAAAGGACACACACAATTATTTGTATTGCATTTAATATTAAAAATAAAATGAATAATAAAAGAAAATTTGATTTGGTATGTTCCCCGGGAACATTTAAGCTTTCTGCATCAATACATTGCCTTCAATCTGAACGTGCCTTAAAATATATAAGGAATTAGTTTCTAATTTAATGAAACTTTGCATTAACTACGAATTTTCTTCCATTTTCTGTAGTTTTTATACAACTTAACTTTAAATTGAACTTTGCAAATTAAAAAAATGTTTTGAATAATTTTTATGTTTGGTCATAAAACAGGTGATCCAAAACGGGTGAGTTTGCAAAATCTTACTGCATAAAATTCTTTCAGTAAACTCCAGTAAGTTTGTTGTTGTTGAATTGTCAACCTTGCTCTTTTCCTGGATTCTTGGGTAAACAGACAACATTTAGTAACATTTGGTAACAATTGTTACCAAATATGGAGTAAACAGACAGAGCTATAATTGGTGTTGATAGTGCTGCGAAAAGCACTAAATGCTTTGAATAGTTTTAGTAATTCTAATTAGATTTTTTTTCAAAGAAATAACACAATGGATGTTCCGCAAAGAAAGTATAAAACTGTCTTAGGCGTCTATTTATCTTTATATTTGCCTTAGACACTGAATACAGAACCTAAATGTGCGTCACTTTTTTGCCTTTGAAGCCCACCCAAAATTTTAGCAAATTGTTATTTCAATTGTGGGGCGTATTCAATTATCATTCGCTTTGAATTTGGTTCAGGGATTGTCTTTAAAAAAATCTCTTGGAATGTTTACACTTACATAATTTCCCGGAGCACCAGGCGCTGTTGGAGCATTTGGATTATAACCAGGAGGCACATATCCCCCTTTATCCAAATTATTCATTGGCATTGACATTGTACCGGTATTTACACACTTAGACGAATCTGCAAATATGATTGGTATTGAAAATAAAACTTAATGCAACTGTACGTAAAAGTATTCAAATCTATATATGTTTTGAAAATTCTCCGAAACACACATCGAAATACTGATGCCTGTTTGAATATGAATTGGCACAGGTTTGTACGATTGTGGACGGGTAGGGGCCAACACGTATGACATACTGGCGCCTACGTCATTGTTTGGTTTTCTTTCATCATTTGCCAAAATAATCAAAGCAAAGTGGAGCCACAAGAGAAAGTGAATTACTATTTACCACAAACTGTAGTTTTTTTTTATTTGTACGGATTGTTTCACTCTTTGTTTTATTTGTGTTAAATTATAAGTTCACTTTAATTTTATTTTGATCTTTGGTCGTCGTTCTGCGGTATTTATTTTTGGATATTTTACACTTCCAAATAGAACCTAACACTTTCAAAATATGTTGCAAACCAAAATAAAATTGAAAAACGTTCCACTTGCTAACGAATGGGGGAGAAGACAAGATGGCCGATAAAAATACCTCAAAGCAGCTTAACAAAATATTTACGAATGAGGTGGAATGGAGACTAAATGAGAACCGCATTGTTGGGGTTGTGTGACACTCACGGACACTGTCCGTATGAATGCCTCAGTGTTGAGTCAGGGTGATCAGGTGCAGAGTTACCGCTGGGTATTTTTAAAAGGTTGCACAAAAAGTCGTTCTCGGAAAAAAAGGCGCACAGAAAAGTAATTTTTTCAATAAAACTGTTCCGAGAATATGTAAAATATACTCGGAAAACAAGAACGACGTATACGGATCCAAATTATTTTTGTTTTTTAGCAATGTAAAAAACAAACACTCGCTGAGCTGGCATAGAACAACAATCTTTCCATTATCGTCCTGCTTACCTGTTGCTCTAATGGGCTAAGCAGAATGCTCGCGTTGAGCCATCCGTTCCGTTTTGTGTTATCGAAAATACAACAACCACAAGGAAACGATAACACTAACACATGAAGTTGATGTGCGCTGCGCTTTTAAGTTAAATATATTTTAACTTTTTGCGTGCGCTAACGCGATAACAAAAAACGCTCAACGCGAACATTCTGTTTAGCCCTTAATTCACATGATACAATATGTAAATCATATCCCCAACTCGATTCTGAAAAGAAACCCTGACATTCCATTAATTTTCGTGTTTTTGGTAAAATGTTTAAAATATGTCAAATGAGCAGATCGACTTGTTGCATTTGTTTTCATTTAAGGCGAGTTTAGTGCATTATCTGGATTTAATTGCTAAATCGTGCTGAATTTATCTCGATTTACCATACAAAATTAAATCAACTCAATATTTCGATTTGTTCTAAATCCTGTGCTAAATCGAGATAATTTCAAATACAACCCTACTTTTGTCCCAAAAAATAATAGTTTCTCCTTAAAGCATGCTTTAAAATTGTTAATATAACTGACAAAAATATGTGAACTGCTGAAAATGTATTTTTGATCGCATTCATAGTACTATAATTTAGAACGACAAAGGTTTTTATGTTTGTTTCATCTATAACAAAGTAATTAGCTTCAGACGAACGTGTTAAAAACCTCATTTTCATTTCAAATAAACTGAATATATTCCAATTTATTTTGAATTTATTTGACATAGTATTCAAAACAATACACAAAATATGTATTTTGATTTGATGGAACAAGTCACCTTGAGAATAAATTGTAATCAGTTGGTAGCTGTGCCTTACCTTGTAATAATTATACCATGATTCTAATGTAGATTTTTGCTTGAGCGTAGAACAAATAAAATCTAATATTAGCTCTGTCTGTTTACTCGATATTTGGTAACAATTGTTACCAAATGTTACTAAATGTTGTCTGTTTACCCAAAAATCCAGTAAAAGAGAGACAAGTGAGAGAGCAAGTTTGACAGTTCAACAGCAACAAACTTACTGGAGTTTACTGAAAGAATTTTATTCAATAAGATTTTGCAAACTCAGCCATTTTAAGATCAGCTGTTTTATGACCAAGCACAAAAATTATTCAAAAGATTTTTCAAATTTTGCAATGTTTAATTTGAAGTTAAGTTGTATAAAAATTACAGAAAATGGAAGAGAATTCGTAAGTAATGCAAAATTTCATTAAGGGGACCCCCCCATTCTCGGGGTCAAAAAATTTTTTGATTTAATTCGATTCTACACTAATTTCTCACGTTTCTCTGTGAGTGTATAGCTATCGTATGAACTAGGATAAAGTCAATCGGTGAATATCTTCCTTACTTTTTAACTTGGTTTTTGGTCAAAAATCGGCGATTTTCCAAAAATATTTTTTCAAAGGTCCGCCATTTTGTTAATTTTAGAGCGAAGTCAATAGTCCTAGTTCATACGAGAGCCAGACATTTACTTTTTCTAACACCGTTGGAATTTTCGGATTCCGATGTTCCAGTGAGGAGTTATCATGCCCGCCATCAAAAATAAGGACTTTTCTTTAATTACAAAAAACAACAACAAAACAATAACAAAAATTGTTTGTAAATTATTTTTCTTCTCTTTTAAATCTTCAATTATATATGTGCAAAGTTACAAACCTCAACAAGCATTGGTATTGATTTACCAGCCCATTAAAAATCTTGAAAAATTAAAATTGAGAATGGGTGGGGTTCCCTTAAATTAGAAACTAATTCCTTATATATTTTTAGGCACGTTCCAGATAGAGGGCAATGTATTGATGCAGAAAGCTTAAATGTTCCCGGGGAACATACCAAATCAAATTTTCTTTTATTATTCATTTTATTTTTAATATTAAATGCAATACAAATAATTGTGTTTGTCCTTTGTTTGTTGTTTATTTTGGCGCAAATCAAATGTTTTCTTGAATCAGCTGTTTATTTGCTAAATCATACTAAATGTTACTGGAAAGTAACCATACACACCTATTATTGTATTTTTAAATGAGTAGTAAAACTTAATAACAAAGTGGCAGTTGAAGTAGATTCTGTAAAGTGGGCCACACACGTCAAACACGTTCGATCGGTGTGAAGCTGCTAGCCCACACACGTCAAACGGATCCACAAAACTTCATTTCGTACTTATTTTTGAAGCGTGAAGATAGACAGCGATAGTGATGATGGAAAAATTATCAAATATTTTTATTAAATATAAATTTAATAAGTACTTTTATATTATTCCGGGGAAATATTTTTATTTCCCACACTGTAGGATTTGTATAAAAAACATCAAAAAATTCTTCCAAAACATTTTTTGCACATGTTTGAAATTGTCCGCTGATCCTCCCTCCTCGAAATTTCACAACAAATGAGAAAATATCCACACACCAGGCCACAGACGTAAAACATGTGCGCGTCGCACACCGAAAAATTAAAAATTTTTAATTTCTTGCGATCGGTGTGCGCACCGCCAAATCGGTGTGAACACCGTACCACACACGTCAAACATTGCTTCGATTCACACCGATCGAACGCACATGTTTGACGTGTGTGGCCCACTTAACTGGTTTTTCTATTCCTCTCTCAAATTCCATCATGATACGGATCATGGTGTGTACGCGATCCCTACGTAAGGGGTGGTCGCTCCCTCGGTCGGCAGGGGTGGGAATGAGAGGCGTGGGAACGTCGAAAAAATTCTTTCAGTAAACTCCAGAATGTTTGTTGTTGTTGAACTGTCAAACTTGCTCTCTCACTTGACTCTCTTTTACTGGATTTTTGGGTAAACAGACAAAATTTAGTAACATTTGGTAAGTCTGCTTTTCCACAGGCAGATTTTTATTTGGCAAATTTTTTGTTTTCTCTTTTGAAATTTTCGCTTGCTTTTCCATTAGCAAATTTTTCTTTGCCAAATTTGCGAATCAAAATACAAAAGAAAGAAAATAAAAGTCAAACGTGTTTGCATTTTAAAGATTTTTTTTAATATTTTATTATATAAATTGCAAAAATTAAAAATTAAATTTCACTTGCACAAATTAAAGCAACAGGTTTTTAAACAAAAGCCGGCTGTGTGTCAGTAAAGCGAATAGGTTCAAAAGGAAATGTCAACAAAATTGTTTTCAACGAACAGAGCAAAGCAGAATTTGCGTGTACGGCAAATTCTGAACAGGCAAATTTTTGTTTTTCTTCCTCGCACCCCGCCTACAAACTCAGTATTTGCCAAATAAAAATTCGCCTGTGGAAAAGCAGACTAACAATTGTTACCAAAACAAAAATTGCTACCTATTATCGAGTAAACAGACAGAGCTATTATTACCTCCTGTCGTTCACAGCTGATAATATCTCACCATTATTCATCGCCCTCATTCGTAAACACAATGAAGTGTAAGCCATTTTGTTTTGAGTTTATGTTTTATCGGCCATTCGTTTGTTTATTGTTTGTTTTGGAACGGCACATTTTATTTCGGGTTTTCGCGATTTTTTTAATTATTATTATAAGAAATGAGTAATATATACATACAGGAACCCCCAACATCGGGAAAGGTATTTAATTTAAGTTAAATATATATTTTTTAATCCCGCCCTTTGAATAGCCTTCCATCCGGCGTTGGTTCTAATTCAATTTCATTTAAAATTTTAATTCATATATTGACTTTCAAACATTCGTATAGGTGTTGCTGCGTACTACCGTTGGTGATATCGATATTGAACTATGGTCGCGAGAATGTCCAAAGGCGTGTCGGAATTTCATTCAATTGTGTATGGAAGGCTACTACAACAACACGATCTTTCATCGTGTCGTAAAAGATTTCATTGTACAGGGTGGAGATCCATGTGGAGATGGTACAGGTGGCGAATCGATATATGGTCATCCCTTCAAAGATGAATTCCATTCACGTCTACGCTATACCAGAAGAGGTCTTGTCGGTATGGCCAATTCGGATAAGGACGATAATGGATCACAGTTTTTCTTTACAATGGGACCGACACCAGAGTTACAAAACAAAAATACTCTATTTGGAAAAGTTACTGGGGACACAGTTTTCAATATGTTAAAGTTGGAGGAAGGTGAAGTGGACCACAATGAAAGACCTATGTATCCCCATAAAATATTGAAGGCAGAGATTCTAAAGAATCCGTTTGATGATATTGTACCAAGGGAACTGAAAAAGGAAGTCAAGAAGGACAAGAAAAAGAAGAAAGAAAAGGGTGTCAAGTAAGATTTTGAAATTGCATATGGGAATAACTCCGATGGAATTTATCTAATTGGCTTTTTTATGATTTTTAGAAATTTTGGCTTATTATCATTTGGCGAAGAAGCCGAAGAAGATGAAGTTGAAACCACAGAATTTGTACAAAAAAATGCTGGAAAGGCAAAATCCTTGCACGATGTCGTAGATGATCCGAAGTTAAGCAAAGAACCAGTTAAAGTAAAATTGGAAGACGACAGCAATTCAGAATCAGAGGGGGAATGGAAAGTACCCATAAAGGAGGAGCCATTAGACGATGAGGAATTGTATGACCGAAAACAGCGCATTAAAGACAAACTGAAATCAAAAACTCTAGAAAAATCTAAAAAAAGTAAAGGGCCCATCAAAGTAGAAGAAATTTCCGATTCAGATGATGACGAATTGCTAACGCATGAAGATGAGAAGAGACTTCAAAAGGAGAAGAAAAAGTAAGTTTTCTTTTTTCATTTCCATTGAAATATTTTTACGATCTTCACTTTTAGGGAAGAAATTCGCCAAGAAATCCAATCGCTGAAAAAACAGTACCAAAGCGAAAAGAGACAAAAAGACGAAGAACTGGAAAAGAAAATGCAAAAGGATTCCAAAGAAAAGGCCAAGAAAATGGAACATGACAATAACGAACTGATCAAAAGTTTCATTGAAGAAAAGGAAAAATATGAAAGTCTTAAAGCGAAAATACCCAAAAAAGGCGCCAGTCGAGAAGATTTCACATTAAGTTTACTATCCAAGTTCCGTTCCAAATTGGATGCTTTGAAACAAAAACGTGAAGATCCTGAACAAGAAGATATTGAGGTGGAGAGTGATAAAGTCGATGACAATGTGGTGGAGAAAGAAATTCAAGGCGATGATTGGCTGTGTCATACATTGAAGTTCAAGGAAGAGGTCCCTGTCTTGGCTAAGGATGCCTCTACCAAAGGTGATGATTGGTACGATGTATATGATCCCCGTAATCCCTTGAACAAACGGAAACGTAAGGAGGCCAATGCTCGTTCAGATAGTCAAAATAAAAAACGCCATTAAAAATTAAAATATTTTTTGTTTTTTTTTCTGTTATGGATTTTCAGTACAAAAGTGTATAGTAAAAAATGGATTGTTTTGAAGAAAAAGAAAAAAATGCCATAAAAATTATTATTCACAGTTACTGCTGTTTCTTCCACGATAACATTTTAATTATTTTTCTCAAAATACTTAGTTTTTTCTTTGGGATTTGGCACAATCTAAAACGAAACAGAAAAGAATTGCATATTGAATACTATTCTAAGGAATGTAATTGAAAATACTTACAGTATCTGCACCAGGTTTCCAACCAGCTGGGCAAACCTCACCATGTGTATCGGTGTATTGGAAAGCTTGTACCAATCGTAAAGTTTCATCTACGGAACGGCCGACAGGTAAATCATTCATGGTGATTTGACGTAGAATGCCACGATGATCAATGATGAAAAGACCACGCAATGTGTGACCCAAATCGTCCAAGTAGACACCATAGTCTCGGCTAATTTTGTGAGTTAAATCGGAAAGTAGTGGAATTTTAACACTACCCAATCCGCCTTCTTTACGTGGTGTATTGATCCAAGCTAAATGTGTGAAATGCGAATCCACGCTGCAGGCAATTACTTCAGTATTTATTTTACGGAATTCTTCAATGCGATCAGAGAAAGCAATGATTTCGGTGGGACATACAAATGTGCTGGAAAATATCGAAGAAATAAATAAGTAAATCGGAAGTTATTTTATATTCGAAAATAGTATAGGAATAATTATACCCTTCACCACACTGTGGTACAGGGGAAGGGTATAATTAGGAAACGAGATAGACATATGGTTCCTTTTGAGAATATGCATAGAATCACTTTCTGAGTCGATTTACGCATGTCCGTCCATGTATTTTTGTGAACAAAGTACAGGTCGCATTTATGATCCGATTTGGATGAAATTTGGCATAGGTCACTTATTTGGCCCAAGGAACGAAATCGGTTCAGATTTAGATATAGCTCCCATATATATTTTCGTCCGATTTAAGGTAAATAGTGCACCAAAGTCCCTATATATCTTTCGATTTGCACGAAATTTGGCACAGCGTAATGAATTAGGTATAGAATGTTGTGTGTTAAGTTTCCTGAAAATCGGTTCAGATTTAGATATAGCTCCCATATATATTTTCGTCCGATTTAAAGTAAATGGAGCACCAAAGTGCTCGATTTGCACGAAATTTGGCACAGCGTAATCAATTAGGTATAGAATGTTGTGTGTTAAGTTTCCTGAAAATCGGTTCAGATTTAGATATAGCTCCCATATATATATTTTCGTCCGATTTAATGTAAATGGTGCCCCAAAGTCCCTATATATCTCTCGATTTGCACGAAATTTGGCACAGCGTAATGAAATAGGTCTAGAATGAAGTGTGTTAAGTTTCCTGAAAATCGGTTCAGATTTAGATTTAGCTCCCATATATATTTTTGTCCGATTTAATGTAAATGGAGCACCAAAGTCCCTATATATATATATATCTTTCGATTTGCACGAAATTAGGCACAGCGTAATGAATTAGGCGTAGAATGATGTGTGTGTTATATATATCTTTCGGTTTGCACGAAATTTGGCACAGCGTAATGAATTAAGTCTAGAGTGATGTGTGTTAAGTTTCTTTATTTAGATATAGCTTCTTATCTGGCCAAATGAAAAATTTAGTATCGGCTGCAGAATGACATGTCTATGGATCCAATTTCATTTTACTGGTCCTTTTCCACTTACTAAGCGGATATACTTAAAATCAGTCAATAATATATTGGATTTTAAATTAAATATAATTTTTAGAAAGATGGTGTTTATAAACTATTAGATGTTATTAAAAATAGGTCTAAAACCCTCATGTTCTCAAAAATTATGCATATCAATATGATCATAAAGTTATACTCACAAATCCAATGGATAGAATAGTAATACAACATATTTCCCGGCATATTGAGACAGCGAAAGCTTGACAATCTCTTTGTTGACAACTGCGGTTCCCTCAAATTGGGGAGCTGGCTTGGAAACTGGAAAATAAAAACATTTAATAATAAATATATTTGCTGTTTTTCAATGTTGTAGTCTCATTCAACTTACTGACTGCTTTGGTAGTTTGTAAAGTATGATC